CCCTCGCCCAGCGCGGCGGCCCTCGCCATCGCGGGCGGGGGAACCCCTCGCCCAGCGCGGCGAGGGCCCCTCGCACGCGACGCGAGAGGGCCCCTCGCGCCCCCGCGCGAGCGAGACCCCTCGCCCCGCGCGGGCGAACCTCCGCCTCGCGCGGCGAGGCCTCCCGGCCGCGCGCGGGCGAGGACTCTCGGCCCCGCGCGGGCGAGACCTCCCGCACCGCGCGAGGGCGAGGCCTCTCGCCCCGCGCGGCGGGAGGCCCTCCCGCGCCGCGCGAGGGCGAGGCCTCTCGCCCCGCCGGGCGAAGGCCTCTCCGCCCCGCGCACGAGGCTGTCGCCCCGCGCGCAGGGCCTGCCCCCCTCGCGGGCCCTGGGCGAGGGCCTGCCGCCAGACACGCGGGGCCTCTCGGCCCTGCGCGGGCGGGGCCTGTCGCCCACCGACAGGGCGGTAGCTACCGCCGAGCCGGCGCAGCTACCGCCCAGATTTTTTCTGGCGGTTGGCTAACCGCCATGCACGGCGGCAGCCACCGCCGGACCGAAAATGGCCTATTAAAATAGGCCATTTTCAGGCTGTTTTGGGCACCTCTTGTCTGTTATTTGACGGACGAAACCTCTCTCTCTCACGCTCCCTTGCGTCTTCTTTTACCGCTTTTTTTTGCCATTTAATTAATTTTTATTGCACTTTTATTGTGAATAATTTTTGGTCACTAAAATTAAACAAAAATTTAAAAATTAATTAATATACCTAAACGAGGCAGCTTAATCGGAGTTAAGAAAAAGTGGCCGACAATTTTTCCGGACTCAACAGTCCGCCGGACCCGGAGGGCCATTTCGGAAGTTCACCGAAAATATATCAATATGGTACTTGAAACGGTCCGGAATTTTACGAGGATCGCGGAAAACAGGTCCCGGAATATTTTCGGAGGTCCGGAAAACTCCAAAAACAGCTCCCGAAAGCGGACACACGGTTGGCCGCACCGGCCACGGCGGGCGCGACAGCCCCACCCAAGCTGGCGGGCGACAAGGCCCTCGCCCAGCGGCGGGGCAGAGACCCTCGCCAGCGCGGGCGGGGACCCTCGCCCAGCGCGGGCCGGGACCCTCCCCAGCGCGGCGAGGCCCCGCACCGCGCACGGGCGAGGCCCTCGCGCCAGGCCGAGCGAGACCCCTCGCCCCGCGCGGGCGAAACTCTTCGCTCGCGCGGCGAGGCCTCCCGCGCCGCGCGCGGCGAGGACTCTCCGCCCGCGCGGGCGAGACCTCCGCACCGCGCGAGGGCGAAGGGACCCTCTCGGCCCGCGCAGGGCGAGGCCTCCCGGCCGCGGCGAAGGGCGAGGCTCTCGCCCCGCCTGGCGGCGAGGCTACTCGCCCCGCGCAAGCGAGGCCTGTTCGCCCCGCGCGCAGGGCCTGGCCCCCCTCGCGCCCTGGGCGAGGCGCCGCCAGGCACAGCGGGGCCTCTCCCCTGCTGCGGGCGGCCTGTCGCCCCACGACAGGCGTAGCTTACCGCCGAAGCCGGGCGCAAGCTTACCGCCCAGATTTTCTGCGGTGGCTACCGGCCATTGCACGGCGGCAGCCACCGCCCGGGGACCCGAAAAATGGCCTATTAAATAGGCCATTTTTCAGGCTGTTTTTTGGCACCTCTGTCGTTGTATTGACGGAAACGAAACCCCTCTCTCTCACGCTTCCTTGCGTCTTCTTTACCGTTTTGCATTTTAATTTAATTTTTATTGCACTTTTTGTGATATTTGGTCACTAAAAATTTTAAACAAAAATTAAAAATTAAATTATATACCTAAAACGAGGGAAGCTAATCTGGAAGTTAAGAAGTGGCCGACGATTAAATCAGGTACGTAAATAAAAATTCCGCCTATTTAATTTTAGCACTTCATGCATGCTTCTCTTCTACTCTCAATCATTCTATAACTGCATAAAAAGCATGCCACGTCAACTAAATATCCGCTTAATCAAAAAATCAAACTTTTTACGGCCAAAAGTCGTTAAAATCGAACCATTTGGCGAAAACGCCTTAAAATCAACCACTTTCGACTAAAAGTCCATAAAATCAACCATTTTAGCGACAAATCGCTAAAAATCGACATTTTTTGGCAAAATGCCTTAAAATCAATCATTTTCCGGTTTAAAACCGTAAAAATCAACCCATTTTAGCGACAAATCGCTTTAAAATCGACATTTTGGCAAAATGCCTTAAAATCAATTTCATTTCGGTTTTAAAAACCATAAAAATCAATCATTTTAGCGACAAATCGCTTTAAAATCGACATTTTTGGCAAAATGCCTTAAAATTCAATCATTTTCGGTTTAAAAACCGTAAAATCAACCATTTTACGGACAAACGCTTAAAATCGACCATATTTGGGCCAAAATGCCTTAAATCAATCATTTTCGGTTTTAAAAACCGTTAAATCAAACCATTAGCGACAAAATCGCTTAAAACGACATTTGGCAAAAATTGCCTTAAAATTCAATCATTTTTCGGTTTAACCGTAAATCAACATTTTAGCCGACAAATCGCTTAAAAATCGACATTTTTGGCAAAATGCTTTAAAATCAATCTTTTAACGAAACAAATCGTTAAATGAACCATTTTGGCACAAATTGCCTAAATCAATTCAATTTTCGCCAAAATGCCTAAACAACGTGCACCAAAGCATACACACTTATTGCACAAAAAGCATTACACAACAAAAAATGCACAAAGCATACACCAAATCATTGCATTAAAGCATACACACAAAATGCACAAAGCATACACAAAATCATGCCATAAGCATACACAAACCCATGGCATTAAGCATACCATTTCAAAAGCCCTCTTAAAAGAGGGGCTTATCGAACTACGTGACTTTGATCTTCCATTCAAACGGATAGTACGAGGGCCGTTCGGGATTTCACTCGGGCGGGCGGCAAGTCCAAATCACTCAAACATTTTATTAATCCCATCATTTCACCTTGCAAAGCATTCATCACGGTTAGTTCATCAGCATAACATAAGTCCTCGGGATCCGCCCGGGTTCGTAGATTATGCCTTACACATGGGATAATTAATCTAGTAACTAGATTAATAAAAATGGAGTCCAATTTAGGGTTTTTCCTAGTTCCCTTGGAAAAATTAAACAAGGCACGGGTGGCGACTCATACATTCACCGTGCATTTCTGTCCTAGTCAACAGCATTCATATGCCGGGTGATATTTTGGGCGAGGGGTACACAATTACCGAAAATGTTTGAGACAAGATCTCCTTCATTTTTAGGTAAGATAATTCAAGGAAACGAAGAAAAAGGTAAATAAAGAAAGAATATTTCGAAAAATGCTTTTTTATTAAGGTGAAGAAGAAAATTGACTTTGTGCTTATAATGGATGTTCTCTCTATCCTACCAAAGAGTCCTTAAAAAAATCTAACACATAGGGTCTCAAACGTCTTCATTGTCCTTAATTGGTAGGACTTGCCCTTGTTCATTTTATCTTTCATATTATATAATCTGCATAAAGATATTATTAGCACAAATAACATTAATTTAAATTTATTTGTTTTGTATCATCAAAATCTCGAGATAAATATTTGACCTTGAGCCAATAGTCCAAGCCTACCTTTATAAGTGTATGTATTTCCATGTTTGAATTCTCACTATTGCTAGTTCTAGATGAACTAATAATATCTAATTATAATATTATTTAAGTTATAAATTTTTCAAGTCAACTGCAAAATACAACAGCAAGCAGCTGAGACAAATCAAACATTGCTTTCAAATTGCTTACTACTCCTCAAGTTTGTTGTCTTTGATTGGTTTATGTTCTGTTATGTTTTTGAAACTATAATGTATCTGATTTAAAATATGAATTAAATAACTATATTTGATATTCATTGCATCTTAAAGGAGATTATTAACCTAAAGTATCTCAATTAATTTTTAAATGATAACAAAGTGTGTGATATTAACAATGAGATTTTCAGAATTTCGAAAGAGCATGTGCTTTATGATTTTTGAACTTGAGACATCAGATCTTATGTAATTGGAGGTTGTGATTTTTGGTATGAGGAATTTTTTGATGAGAAATTGTATTGAAATTTGGTATTTGAATTGTTATAGCTACAAAGATAATACTCCTTTTGATAAGAAAAGTGTAGGATCAATGATATTTGTGCACAAGTGTAATTTATGATATATGAATGATATGTGCATAAGATGATTTCACTTTGGAGGATGACATAGTTAATTTCTGTAATGGGAATAAAGATACCTGTAAGAGAAAAACTTATATTTTTAATTCTCAAATTATTGAGATATGTTGGATATTGTGAATTAAAATAAATTGTTATGATTATAAGACAAGATAAATTATAGTGTTCTGATGGGAATTAAGTTGTTTTTAGCCGTTATCTGCCAAATATTGGAGCTTGTATAGAATTTGCACACTATGGACTGATTATGGATTAGTAGTAAAAAATAAATTTCCATAAGGTTATATGAATTAAGTAATCTACTGAATTTCTTAGATATACGCAAGATAAATTGCTCTTGGACATTTTTAAGTATCTACTGAATCTTAGATTTATGTAAGATAAATCCAATGATTCAATAGTTATATGTTGAAAATTATTATGGAAGTATAGAAAATGAATGATCTTCTTTGAGGAATTAAGATGACATTACTATAAGTATATTTCCACCATGATGGGTTAAATTAAATTTATGAATGACAAGTGGGTTTCAATATCAATAATACACAGTGGGAAAAGAGATAATTATTAAAAAAAAATAATCATACCAATAGGGATTCGTTTTAAACGATAAAGCAATAAATTATTTTAAAAGAAATACATCTTTTTGCAGATTTTTCGAACTTCGACCAACCGGCTAGGTTGTCGCAAATACAAAAGCCGTCCCAATGTCCGACCTCTCTAATAGTATCCATAGAAGGACAATCGAAAAAACTTCTAAAAACTGGTTTTTAGAGGGTAAAGGTTAGAGTGTATGGATGGTGCTAGACTATAGTAGACTCTTATGTAGTTGTGGCTATAAGCAACAAACTCACAATTAGACTTGTATCTTTAAACCCTTATATATTAAAACCTTAGTCATAAATAAATAAATTATAAATTATTTATTTAAACCTTTAAAATAAATTAAAATTAACAACCAAAATTATATATTGCCTATTTATTTATTAACAATTTAAATTAATAAATCTAATACATTATAGTAATTAGGATTTTTCAATTTAATCAATGATATTTATTTATTTAAAACTATTTAAATAAATAAATCATAATAAAATATTAGGTTATTTAATCTAAAATTTAATAATTTTAGACCATAAATTCAATTTAATTTTTCAATATTTAATTAATTAGGTAAAATTGTAATTAAATATCAATTTTACAATTTTTGCCTTAAATATCCTTAAAACTAATTTGTAACAAGTCATACTTGACTCTTTCTCGTTTCACTTTTAATATTCACTTCTTACTGTGTGTACTTTTAGGTTCCAAATATATTGGCAATAAATGTAAATAAATTAATATAATATTTGAAGGTCAAGTACATTGTCCAGTAACATGTCTAGAACTATTCCAAATAATTTGAAAGTCCAAAGTGGTTTGACTTAACCTTTCAATGCGGATGATTTATTCAAAATAATTTAATATCTCTTCTCATTAATATTTGATTTAGTATTAGGCATGAGTATGTCTGCTTTAACGTTAAATCATGTCTTAATCTAAACTTCATGATCGTTGAATGAAATTCTAAAATCTAAATTGCTAATTTCATTCACCTTGCGGTAAGGATCTTAATCCAATACTAATGAGAGAAATCAATTAGAACATTTCTCTGAATTTACCTAGGGTGAGAATCATTCTCCTTAAGTACACAAGTATCTTCATACAGTTCCTTACTATCTCCAAATAATCATTGCTTATTTATTATTCATGAATGAATAATATGAAACGAAAAATCCAAAAACATAATCATCTCCGCATAAGATAGCTAGAGTAAATTTCAAGTCAAAGGATCACTTGCACAAACCATCACTTAAGTATTCCATAGACACAATTTAAGTCTCCATATGTGGAATTCTCATGCAGTCAATTCAGTGGACCTGTTTTAAATAAACAAGCAACCTACATACTAGTTCATAGATATCAACAACAATTACCTCAGCTTATGAGAACAGCTGCTTCCTAAGGAAAGAACATAATATGTACTAGTTCTCAATAGCATCTAATCATTGCCAATCATGAGGGAGAACCATTAACCAGGAATATTTGAGACATACTTTAATGCAAATATTAAACTCATTTTAATTATAAACATATTATAATTTATTTTACAAGCCAGTAGTATGTACTCATAAACTTTATCTTTACCAAGATTCAAACAATAGAATATAAAAAGATAAAATAAATGCGGTTTATTAATATTAAAAATAATTTATACATGAATATTTATATCCCA